GTGTGTCTCCACTGTATTCCTAGAACATCTGCTGGAGGTGTCAGACACACAGAAACATGATATTCTAAAGATTCTTTTGTCCTTAGACAAGCATTCCAGTGATTAAATTTGCACTGCCAGATGATATTTTATATATTGTGGTATATTTATAAGCTAATTTTCCTGAAAAAAAAAGCATTCTATCCTTTGATCCTCCAACTCTATAAAACTGCTACTTCTCACAGAAGCAAACTACTTCGCCTAAAGGACACCGCCATAATCAGCCTTTCGTATAAGCACTCATCGGTGCATTATTTTTTAATCCTGTTTCAAAACTTTCTACGTAGAAATTCCTCACCACTTTCTGAACACTTAATATTAGTCTCTGTAGCAGATGTCAATCGCACAGAAACCACATTCATACCAATGACTCTCTTCCAGTGTAATGTAATCCTCTTTCTTTCCCCACCCATGAGTAGTGGTGGATTATACATTAGTCTTCTACACCTGACCTATTGAGAAATCTCTTTAGATTCCTTATAAAAGAACCTGTCTTGGGAAGCATCATCCCATTTCCGAGTGGCTCAGCTGCATCCACTGTCTATCCTGTATGGCTCTATAATCCTCTTCATTTCTCCTTCTTTTTCTAAAGATGGAGAAAATTCTATAAACAACATAGATCACCTCTTCAGGAATTCAGGATAATGGAAGCAACTAAACACATGGGTTGGGCAAGGATTGCAAATCCAGATCATTAACAAGTCAAGACGAGTGGGTGTTGAGAAAGGGAAAACCAGCATTTTCCTCTTCCACTTGCCCCATCACCCTTAACTGTTCTCACATCACTCTAACGTTTTTATAATTCCAGCTACTCCATTGCTGAAAATGTTCCTCCCTGATTCGATAAAAGCAATTTATTCTGGGCTGGAGCCACTTCTTCATCCAATGGTACTGCACTTAACTGGATAACCTTCAAAGCCTTATGAACCCCAGGCTGGAGTTTTTAAGACCCCACGCAAATGCCTGATGAATTTGTTCTCCTTTGAACGTTTTTGGGGTCTATACCCTCTCCCAACATCCAAATCCCATGGAGAGGCTGAAGACTAACAGGCTCTGTCTTCATCCCTAAATAAGCTTTGCTACAATGCCCTTGTTTTTTAACAATTATCCTATTCATTAAAAATCTCCTCATACCATGTAATTAAAATACTTCATTGGCTAACCTGACACCACTGCGGCAGAAAAAGAGCAGGTAAGCACAGGGTACGAGAACGCAACACACAAAACTTCAGAACTACCGTCTTAGTGGTCACTTGGCTTTGAACAATTAACAGCAGAAGATTAATGAGTGTCCCCTACCTCATGATCTGATCCAGCGCAGAGATCTTCAGAGAGAATGAATTTTTATGTTTATTAAATCTGTACGAGATGTTTAGCATACCTTTCACTTCCTCGTGTTTAGGCTGAACTAAAATAAAGACCCAAAAGCAAAAGGCCCAAAAAGCTATTCCTGCTTACGTGCGAAGGTTATTTTAACACACTCTTACCCTTTACAGAGGGTGAGATGGGGACATAACGCTTCGGTTACTGAGTTTTAGAAGTTCCAGTCTCACATCTGCCAAAAATTGCTTTGAGCTGTGCATTAATTTCATATTTACTTCCTTTAAGTCAACAGAAAAGTAGGATAATCGCAAGACGGGAGCCTTTAAACACTCATGCTTCAGTCGCGGGTGAGGTTGGGATGTCCTCCTTCCCCTCCGATGCCCGACTGCCACCCTGTGGCTTTTGCACAGTGTTCAGCTTCCACGATTTGAGGCTGAACTGTGAAGCCAAAGGGCTTCCACTAAATGGCAAATTTGGGGCTGATGTTGTTCCAAAAAGGAAAAATGCACTTTCAGAGAAACTGAAAGGTGTCTTGGACTTGCATTTGAATATTGTTGTAAAATTTCAGTATTAGAAGTCTCAGGGTGATCTGCTACTGTGGACTATAAGCAGCCGAGAATACTCACAGCAACTGAAGAAGTTGTCATACAGCTTATTTCTCTTCTTGAGCTGTCATGTGCCTGGAGAACTTCTAGCAAACTCAGCATACACCAGTCTGCTTATCTTGATTCAGGTCCCCTTTCGGTCTTACCCTTTAGGACTGTATATGTCCTGTTTTTTCCTGGTTAGTCAGGCAATTGGGTTATGTATGGTATTGTGGATGTTTCCTCTTTATTGTGGCCGAGAAACCCCAAGTTTCTCAGAGTCTTAGGCACTAAAGTGGAACTTAGATATATTATTCTCTTCAAAACTGTCAACTCCTAGATATCCTAGCCTAGCAGCCAGCTCAAATTTATTTGACTCTTCAAAATTAAACATCTAGATAACGAATGCTTTGTTTCTGGGCATTCAAAAAAAAAGCCACTTGCTGGGCAACACCAAGGGCTTCAACATTGCTGAACACTTATGGCCCACTTGACCTACAAGCAGCTTTTCTTCTACTTACCTCACTTGTCACAATCCATCTGGTAAGTACCTTCAAAGCTTCAGGAACTGAGCTGAAGTCTCGCTGTCTTCCTTCAAAACACGTTAGAAGTACTTGCACTTTTTATAAAGTATCTCGGTGGCTACAGCACCAGCATCCAGCAACCCGAGCAGCTTAGGCTCAGTTCCCTCTTTTGTCAGAAATGACTGAAAACGTGTCCTGACAAAAGAGGAAGCTTACCCTCCTTGCCTGTTGAAACCATTCTGCTTGTATGTCCGAATTAAAGGTTTATTGGGCCACAGAAAGAGAGCAGCAGTCAACTTTATTCTCAAAGCTGGCAATTACGGCCAAAACATGAGAATGAAGCGTTCTTGTGACCAGGACAGTCTGTGTGGCTTTATCTAATGGATAAAATTCAGAGCTGTGAAGCTTGACTTAGGGAGATGGAACACGTCCTGAGGATCTTTGAAGACTTCCTTGTCTCCAGTGTGGTATCTTGCCTAGCTTAGGCAGCTGCCCACTTGTCTGGCTTTCTCTGGGCGTATGAAGAGCCTAGCCTGGGGGGTTCCATTACGAGCCGAGATGTTAACTAGCTCTCCTGACTAGCACAACAAGACCTCTGTGGCTTAGGGTCAACACTCCAAGGTCAGACGGAACTTTTGGCAGTGCCACTGAAGTTTCACCTGAGAGCTGATGTTGAATGCAAGCTCTTGATTTCACCGAACACGTGTGCTTTGCTACCTATAAACAAATGCAGCTTCCAGAAGTCAGTTCATTTTTACCTTTCCTCCTCATTCCAGAGGAACAACTGGTTGTACGGTTTTGTTTTGGTAGGATTCGTGTTGGTTTAATTGTTTATATTGCGTGCTTCACACAAGTCAAAAAGGACAGAGCTGATTCCCTTCCTCCAAAATACAAATGCTGAGGTTTAGGACAGTTCTCACTCCACAGCTGTAGACGGGCATTTGTTCCACGTTTCAGAGAGTGCAGACTCTTGCGCCGACATATTTTACTCTGATGACAGCAATAATTGGTAAGATAAGGAATTTTATTATTAGACTTTCCTCCATCAACAGTTCTAATAATAAGAGGGAAAGAAATGGAGCAGGAAAAAACAAGGTAAAAGAGTAACTAAGGCCCATTTCCCTTATGGTCTTTATCAAGAGGTATCAATGATTTAACGATGATTTTACTATTTCCATTACAATTTTATACTGTGCTTAACAACACTCTTGGCCTGGGAAGATGCATTTCTTCCATTCCCTCACAAGCCATCCTCCTTTTGGACGTTAATCAGAAAAAAAGCACCATATCTTCCTCAAAATCAACCCATCCCTCTGGAGTCTAAGCCACCTGTCACTGAGGTAACAGGGTGATGGAGCCACCTTCAGCAGTGCCCTGCCAGGTGCTATATCCTAGTTTGGCACCTGTAACATCGGTGTAGTAAATGAAAAGACACCAGGAAGGTGTCTTTAGCCAAGGCTAATTAACATTCTAATAAACGACACAGTACCTGCCCTCTTGGGGTGTGTTTTTGAAGGCACATCATCCAACAGAGAAAGACCAGCAATGTATTGGCTGATGTGTGCCCACGGGTATGCAGCCCGATGACTCCTGCCAACTGAAAAGTCAAATGCATTTAAACAGTACGCCCACCCCTCACACTTTTACACCTTCATTAAATTTGTCTGCAGCTCAGACAGGAACACCTCCTGCCCCATGGGCCAGGAGCCATGAGTTCTCTCCGCTTAACAAAATCACTCAAAAAAAAAAAAAAAGAGTGAAGCTTCAGGTGACCACAGACTGATTACCCTTTGCCTTCCTTCGTCACCCTTGCAGGGCTCCCGAGTACAGAGGTGCCACGTTTCTGTCTCTCCCGACTTTCCGTAAGGGGTTCAATAACACTCAGAAGTATGGCACTGCGGAAAAACCACTTGCAGAGACTCCATGGGAGATCATCAACGGGCAAATCACCCGGGGGCTTTCACCACAGAAGAGATGTGGAGGGCAGCATTCAGCGTGCCGAGCTCTCACATCCACTTGCCTGCGGAATAACCTCCACTTTCCTGTTTCTCTGCCTCAATTAGGGCCCTAATTAGATCTTTTTCCTCATGCTTATTCCTACAGAGCTGCTGCCTGCATCTTCTCCACCTCACCCACCTACATACAAATCGGTTTGGGCTCTCAGGTGCTCCCCACCGCCCCTTGGTTTGGGCACTTCTAGTGCTGTTGTTAAATACACATAGGTATTTGAAAATACTGTACCTACACCATTCCTTATTGCTTCCACATTTTAATAACTCCCGTGTTCTTTGAGTTCATACTGTCTCAGCTTTCTTGCTACATTCATAATGAGAGCCACCTCACAAAAGCCTATGCTAGGTAGGAGACTTCCCTCCTACGGACTCAGCAAATGAAGCATCAGCAGACAGAAAGGAATCTGTTCCCCATCCCAAAGCTGCCTCTAGCTTGGTGGAACATAACCTCCTCCATTCAGCTTTTCCCCATCACTCAGCACCAGCGAAGAGGAATGAAAGAAGCACAAGAAGAATTAAGAACACATCTTTAAAAAAAAAAAGTTCATATTAATCACATTCATCAAAGGAATTAAGCAACACCACCTCCCCACCTCCGGCTTAGCCAGCTGTCTCTCCTCTGTGCAGGATCTTCATGGTGACCACCACAGGAGGCAACAACGGTGGGGAACTCCTCTGCAAGGATCCACTGCTTCTTATTTATGTAGATAGGCATCAAGCCAGAGCTCCCCTGAATTTTTCAAAGAGCTGCCAAGAGAGAACCACATTTCCTTAGAAACAAGACAAAGAAATACAGCGTCCAGGGAACAGAGCCTTGTGGGAAGAATTCCCCGTCTATAGATTAAGCAGAGGAGATCACAGAATCATAGAATGGGTTGGGTTGGAAGGGACCTTTAAATCTCATCTAGTCCAACCCTCCTGCGATGAGCAGGGACATCTTCAACTCGATCACATTGCTCAGAGATCTTCAAAGCCAAGGCAATGTAGACTACAGATCCTTGGAAAGACGAAGAAGAACCAAACCACTGGGGCTACATCAGACAAAGACTGGAAGGCTAAAGCAAACAACTTATTTGGAATGAAAACAAAAGGAGCAAGCAGGGCAGAAGAGAGCCACGTGACTTTTCAACAGAATAAATATCTGGGGGCAAGGAGGGGAAGAAAGGAAGAAAAAAGAAAGAATGAATGACAGTTCAAACTCATCTTTATGAAAAC